CGCACTCGCCACAGAGGTGTAAAAACCGCAAGGAAAGTAATTAATGAGTGCTTCCCTGGGTGGGCATTCATACCCCGAAAGGAGACGCTTCCCTTGTCTGGGTTTCAACCCAGGACCTCGCGAACGGAGATTAGTCGGTCAAGGGCCGAGACGAGGGTCCATGAGATTGGTGTGGGCATTTTTGGGGCACTGGCAAGTTTGGTAAGCTCTCATGGGCCTGAGGGACAAAGAGCCCCTTTTTCCCGTGCCGAAACACAGACACAGAGGCTCTTGGGAAGAAGACTCCTGGCGGTTGGTGTGGGAAACCCTGTGACTTTAGTGGCGGGCTTTGGGGACAAAGTGAACAGAGTCCCTTCCCGTGCTAGGGACCCAGGGAGGGGGAGGATCCTGGGAGGTGACCTTGTATGTTTTGTGTGATCCGCCCCTTGCAGGGGGTTATGCATAAAAGCCGTGTGTCGCCAATAAAATTGCAAAGTAACTCCAGGACTGTGTGTTATCCAGTTACTGGGGGAAATGGGTGTATTTGTCCTGTTATGGGCAAATGCAAATATTACAAGTTTTAGAATGCAAAGTGCAAAGTTTAAACTGTGTACTTTGTCTTTAAGAGATATTGCAAACTGACAAGGTGTTAGAAATGGAACATGTTGTTTTTCATACAATGTTTCTTTAATAACAATAACCTCTTACCTACTTTCAGTGCATAATATGCTGCGTAGTTCTAACTTACGCCATTTTGTCTTTGCTTAATACAATAACAATTAATGCATAAACAAACTTCAAGGCTATGCAACGTAATAGCAATAACCTCTTACCTACTTTCAGTGCATAATATGCTGCGTAGTTCTAACTTACGCCATTTTGTCTTAGCTTAATGGAATTTCCCATGACGTGTGCACCCTTACGTTTTAGTTATGGCCTTGTATCTTTGCCAAGTTAAGGAAGGTCCTAAAATGAACATTTAAAAGGTATAAATATGTGTACTATTAATATTAGGACGCAGGGAGAGAAGAGATTTGGAGACAGAAACACTGCTCCATCTTATAATGATTGAGAGGCTGACATGTTGACATGTTCAGGAGGGCATATTATTCTATTTTAATGATATTGCAAGCATATAGTTTAATTTTATAAACTCTGCTGTTAATTATTGCAATGGATTTTATATGTCTATATTTTTATTTTTATTTAATAAAATATCTATAAATACAAAACTTTATTGCTTCCAAGACAATCCTTATTTTATATTGTATTCTCAATTATTTATATATTTTAGATAGAGGATCTCTTATTAACTATATAAATTATGGCTAAGATATCTGTATGGTTAGCCCTGCTAAGGTCTATGCTTTAAGACGTTATAGTGGTAAATAAGGGAACCGGCTGCGGTTACAATCCTTTACATGGTTCCTGACCGGCTGAAGGAAGGTAACCAGTCGGGTTACCTTGGGTCCGCTACATTGCCATTTCTCATGTTTTGCTTTAGTAGTTTTGGTCAGGGCCGGCGCGTCCATAAGGCGGCACAGGCGGCCGCCTTAGGGCGCACCGGCTCTGGGGGCGCAAAATTCCAGTGACCGGCAGGAGGGAAGTGCTCCCTCCTGCCAGGTCACCTCCTGGATCCCCGGCGCGGCGTGCAGCTTATTTGGATGCCGAGGGAGCTCTGATCTCTCTGATGTGCTCCCTCGCAGGCTGTTTACTGATGACGTCATATTCCCGCTCCCGCGGCAGCAGTAAGCAGCCTGCGAGGGAGCACATCAGAGAGATCAGAGCTCCCTCGGCATCCAATTCAGCCGCACGCCTCCCAGCAGCCCCACTGGACCACCAATGAGATACCCACGCCAGCTCTCCAGGTAGGGAGGCTGGGTGGGAAATGTAAATTTAATTTAGATTATTAATGTGTGTGTGTGTGCATGTGAGTATGTGTGTCTGTGAGTTTGTATGGTTCTGTCAGTGTGTGTGAGTGAGTGTGTCTGTCTGTCAGTGTGTGAGTATGTGTGTCTGTCAGTGTGTGTGTGAGTATGTGTGTCTGTCAGTGTGTGTGAGTGAGTGTGTGTGAGTATGTGTGTCTGTCAGTGTGTGTGAGTGAGTATGTGTGTGTGTCAGTGTGTGTGAGTGAGTGTGTGTGAGTATGTGTGTCTGTCAGTGTGTGTGAGTGAGTATGTGTGTCTGTCAGTGTGGGTGAGTGAGTGTGTGTGAGTGAGTGTGTCTGTCAGTGTGTGTGTATGTGTGTCTGTCAGTGTGTGTGAGTGAGTGTGTCTGTCAGTGTGTGTGTATGTGTGTGTGAGTGTGTATGTCAGTGTGTGTGTATGTGTGTCTGTCAGTGTGTGTGTGAGTATGTGTGTCTGTCAGTGTGTGTGAGTGTGTCTGTCAGTATGTGCGTGTGTGCATGTGAGTACGTGTCTGTCAGTGTCTGTGAGTTTGTGTGTGTCAGTGTGTGTTTGTCAATGAGTCTGTCAGTGTTTGTGTGCCTGTCAGTGTGCGTG